TTTGTTTTTACTGAACACTTCCATTCATTTTTCCCCGCCCTCACCATGGACCACAACCTCAACAGACTTTCTTTTCGCAAACCAATAATATATTTAAAAAAAATTGGTATCGGAAATGAAGGTGAGGTGCAGTCTTGCGTTTGGTGCTTTAAAAGTACGGCGAAACTCTATGGCAGGCAGAACTGACCTTCCTGCATAGAACATTTTTGGTGGATAAGAGAGATATTTTACGTAACCTCATTGCTTCTTCTAAAAGATCACCACTTTAATCTTGCTTGTAAATGCTTCGCTTCACACAGTACACGGTCTTCACTTAAGGGTCCTGCAGTTGGAACTGTGGTAATTAGGCATTCAGAGGATCCTACGCCAGCGTCTTCATCACTAAGTTGTTGCTCGAACGTTTCCAGAAAACAACATTTGTTGATCGCAACTTAACTTGAGGGATTCGCAGGTTAAGTGAAGTGTAACTCGCTGAGGCCACTTCGCACAAAAACCTTATTCCTGTTTTCCACCCTGTCCACCTCGCCTTCGTGAGGCTTTCTGAGTTTGTGTCCAGAATCCAGTTATCTCCTAAAATTGAGAAACGTATACTTCCGGCGCATAGCGCATATTCACTCACGGCGCTGAAGGTGGGGGGAAGACTTCGACTAGTGTCTGTGTAAACATCAATTGCGTCCGTTTTACACGAATGCTCGAACATATCGCACCCGCGGAGAATAGTTCTGTGCGTAAGCTGAACCTCAACAAGCTCCATTGAAGATCAGAGCGTAGGTGTGTGTGTGTGTAGAGTGCGTGACCGATCTCATGAAACGTTGGGCGAAAGTCTGAAATTTGTTCTCGATTAGGAAGGATTACTTAGGTGGGGTTGTAATATTGATTAGCATGCAGCATAATCCTATGGCATTTCGGACTTATCAGGATGTCAGCCTTTGGATGCGCTCCTTTTTGACCTCCTGCAGAAACCGGGCTCTGCAGAAAAGGACTACTTAAGTGGCATGCAGTTTTAGTATTGATTTTCGGTAATCTTAAAAATTCAAACGCATTTTATAGAAAACGTTACAAGAATATGCCTTCTTTTACTCGTTCGGTAGAAAATCACACTGTCTTCATATCTAATACCCGACGAAAGTGTATATTTAGGTCTTAAAAATGTCTAATTATGGGATTTTTAGAAACTGAACGATGTCCGTATGTACAATATCGCGCATGTCCGTTTATCAAGGCTTCTCATGAAACGTACAACACAGTTCGGATCCATTGTAAATTTTTATGAAATTTTATATAGTATCTTCTTAAAGGTAATGAGAAATATATAATTTTCCTTACGCGGAAAGTATGCCCCGTGTAAACTGAAATTGCTAAACGCTAATGCAATGACAGATCAGGCTCAAAATTATTCGGGAATTGGAAAACGTTTTAAAGACCTAAATATACACGTTCATCAGGTATAAAATATGTAAACAGTGTAATTTTCTACCAAACAAGTAAAAGAAGGCATATTCTTGTCACGTTTTCCATAAAATACATCAGAATTTATAAGATCACCGAGAATCAATACAAAAATGCATTCCACTTAAGTAGTCATTTTTGCAAAGCGCAGTTTCTACAGGAGGTCAGTACATACAAAAGCCGACATTCTGATAAGCCCAAAATGCAATAGGATTATGCTGCATGCTAATCAATACTACAACCCCACCTAAGTAATCCTTCCTAATCGAAAACAAGTTTCAGAGTTTCGACCAACATTTCATGAGATCGGTCACGCACTGTATTTGTTTTGCCCCTAGAACGGACCGCACGGTAAATGCGCTCAGTTAACACAGGAGTTAGTGCCCGTTGTGGACCAGAGGGTGTGGTGATACGCCCAGGTGTAGGTTTTTGCCATGACTGCGTCCGTTTCCGCTTGCAGTCTTCTTGACTTTCTTTTGATACCAGGTCCTGATGGCGAGGGGAGGAGAGAGTGAGGTAGATGTAGCGCAAGTCCTCTACGACTATAAACTAGTTCACGCGAAAGCCACCGTCCCTGTCCTCACTCTGATGCTTAGTACACGGTGGACATAGTCGAAATGGACAGTCCACCTGTTGAGTCCCTATGTGCACATCTTTATAATAGTCGATCTGAAATTGGGCTAGCAGCTAGTCGTTAGTAGGTCGCTTAACACGGACATGTAAGCGAGGAAACGCGAGTCAGCTACACTGAGTTTCAACGGCGTTTGAATTGTAGACACTCAGAAGAAAGTCATCAGTCAAGCAGTGTACATTTGTTCCATTGATTTGATGTCTGTGTCTAGACAGTTGTGTTGTATATACGATAAACGTAAAAAAATGCATTCTTCAAACACAATATATCCGCACTTGCCTTTTCTGGACACATGAACAAAGACAACATATTTGTTATTAAATAGTTTCGACTTCTATAAGATTTTGAGAAATCCGTCTATTCAAATGGGTAGTCTGTTATTAGTCGGGTTTATTGGTGCTTTGTGAAAATTCTGTCAAATTTTGATTTAATAGCCGAGGATATTTTATTCTATTGACGTGTATTCTACTCAAATGTAGGATTTTATTGTTAAGCACAGGCACAAAGCCGACTATTTGTATAACATGCCGATATGTATTTACGAGTAACCGAAAAAGTGGGCTCAAACAACCACTCACAGAAGCGGTTTGTTCCTTAAAACCGAAACCGTCCCTTAGTAAATTTATTATGATTACTCCTTTTCAATATAACAAATATAAACTATAGCAGAGAGCGCTCACAGATTGAGTTACGGGACTCGCCTGTCCCGTTGTGCTCTAGGGCTCAGTCCACAAGTATACAGGCAGTCGCGCAGCACTTTTAATATATATATATATATTCTCGTGCAGCGTAAGGTCGACGGAACGTTACGCACATCCGTTTACCGGAAAGAAACTTACGCTGAAGTCATTCTTCCTTATAAGAGCAACCAGCCCATTTCTCACAAACGGAGTGCCGTAAACAGTCTGCTTGGTCGAGCAAAAACACATTGTTCGGATGAAGAAGGCTATCGAGCCGAAGTGAATTACTTGTACGAATTATTTTCGCAGAATGGATACCCTAAGGACTTTGTACGCAGATGCATGAGTCAGCGAGAATCAAGGGAGAAGGAGCCGGGTAGTTCCAATCAGACGCCTGAATTAAGCACTTGGCGAACCCTTCCTTACATTAAGAATGTGTCTGAACTCGTCGAAAGGCACTTAAGGAAGCACCAAATTCGAGTGGCGCACAAACCTACGACTACTTTGCGCTCTCAGCTGGTACATCCTAAGGATAGGGTTAATCAGCTGGACAAGAAAGAGGTCGTCTACAAGATACCGTGTAATGCATGTACTGCCGTCTATTGTGGCCAGACTGGAAAATCCGCCTCAACACGCATCCATGAGCACCAGTTGGCAGTAAAGAGGCGAGACCATCTGTCTCAGGTAGCCATGCATACGCTGGACACCGGGCACACTTTCGCTTGGGACAAAGCTCGCGTTGTCGCGGTCTGCCCTTTCAAGAAAGGCCGAGAATTCCTCGAGGCGATGCACTCTGATGACTCATGCATCAACCGGCATATCGAGTTGGATGCCGTGTACAGAAACCTGAAGGAGAAATGGAAGAGAAGGGAACCAACCAGCTCAGACTGACGCACGACGGCCGCCAACCGGCGCACACGCCATGCAAGTATCGATTTTTTGTGCACTCTTGACGTTAGCTGTTTCTTGCTTTCACATTTGCTTTCCGCTTGCGTCTGACGACGACCTGGGGAACCAGCGTCGCAAATTTACGCAATAAACCCTCTTGTCCCAAAGAACCTACCTCTTTTCAACTTATATCGCTTGGGATGCCTACATTTCAATACTTACGCATGAATTACGACCGCAAAGTCTTGCTACAAGCCAGACGTTGGAAAAAATGTGCAATTCGCGAAAGTATAACGCGAGAACAGTTAACATTTCTGCACAGATGCCGAAGTAAGAAGATACTGCCACGATCCGTGTGTGTGAAACCCGCGGTTAAATCTACCTTGGGATACCAAATTGCTTCACGTTACGGACGAAGCATGCTCGATGCATTCATAACCGACGCCCATTATCGCCTCCAAAAGTGCCAAGTTTCTAAGGAGCGGCACAGGCAATTTTGTCGAGACCAGCTTCCTTCGCACTTATTTGAATCGCTGAACGAAACGATTTCACACGTTTCTGAACTCGAAAGACAAAAGAAGAGGAGTAATCTAGACAGAAAATGGATTTCCATTTCACAGAAAGCAGATACAGCTCAGCAGTTTTCAAAGAAAGTCGTAAATCTGTCCTCCAGAGTCCTCACGACAACGGAAGAGGGTGTGCTGTCCAAGGGATTGAAGTACAATCTTTCCGACTCGAATTATTTGGACTTTCTTGCAACCTTGGAATCCATTATTTCAACAGCAAACTTCACTGAAGACGAACGGTCTACCATCCGAAATAGTACTGTACACGCCTTAAGAGACCGGAACCAGTTTACAGTACTATCACTTGAAGAAAGAAAGGCGATTAAAGGCCTTAAAATGGACCAAAATATTATTATTCTTCCCGCGGACAAAGGAGGCTTCACTGCCATTTTGAACAAGACGGACTACAAACAGAAAATGCTGTCATTATTAGACGACAGATCTACTTACCAACCACTCCCTACAGACCCCACCAAAGCGCAAGCTTCATCCATCGACAGGGTGTTGAAGCGTCTCACAGGGAAGAAACAACTGTCAGAAGACATCGCTAAATCGCTCAAACAAACTGAGCCGACCATCGCGAAGATCTATGGATTGCCTAAAGTCCACAAAACCGAAGTTCCACTTAGACCGATCGTATCACTAATCGGTGCACCTAACTACAAAATTTCCAAGTGGTTGTTCCAGAAACTTCATCCGCTCACGAAAAATTGTGAAACCTCAATAGAGAACTCGACTGAATTCCTGAAGAAATTGCAAGGGATCACAGTTTCCGCCGATGAGATAATGGTCTCCTTTGATGTCGTTTCCCTGTTTACGTCAATACCGTTGGATGTCGCTAAACAGTGCACCGAGGACCTCCTGCTGTGCTACGACACAGATGTGCCCGCCGCCGCTATGCTCGAACTGATTGGTTTATGCTTGGAAAGTAACTTTTCATTCGACCAGCAATGCTACAAGCAACTGAAAGGAGCCCCTATGGGGTCACCCATTTCTGGTTTTCTCGCTGAAATAACAATGCAGAAACTAGAGGCAACGGCGCTCCCGTTGTGTACTCCTAAATTGTGGCTGCGATATGTGGATGACACATTTGTTATCGTAAAAAAGAACCAACTAGAAGTGCTCCACAATACTATTAACTCAAAAATTGCTGGGATTCAATTCACACTTGAAAAGGAAGTGGACTGCAAACTCCCATTTCTGGATGTTCTCGTGCAGCGTAAGGTCGACGGAACGTTACGCACATCCGTTTACCGGAAAGAAACTTACGCTGAAGTCATTCTTCCTTATAAGAGCAACCAGCCCATTTCTCACAAACGGAGTGCCGTAAACAGTCTGCTTGGTCGAGCAAAAACACATTGTTCGGATGAAGAAGGCTATCGAGCCGAAGTGAATTACTTGTNGTCGGTTTTCGATCGGGAATATACAATGTTAGGGGGCGCTCACCGATCGTTCATACGGAACTCACTCGTTCCGTTGTGCCTTAAGAGCTCTCTCTCGAGCCCAACCAGCAGCCGCACAGCGGCGCATGATATATAGGCAGAAATGATATTACCGACAAAGACAAGGGAGACTGGAATGGCCATTTCTGGCTTATTAGCCGTCGTCAGCCAGCCATACCCAAGCCCGAAGTGTGGAACACCCGAGCCTCGAACTCGCGACCTGTTGGTTTAGAAGTCAACGCCTCTACTCACCGGGCCACGAGCCCGTTGCCTTGTCGGTTTTCGATCGGGAATATACAATGTTAGGGGGCGCTCACCGATCGTTCATACGGAACTCACTCGTTCCGTTGTGCCTTAAGAGCTCTCTCTCGAGCCCAACCAGCAGCCGCACAGCGGCGCATGATATATAGGCAGAAATGATATTACCGACAAAGACAAGGGAGACTGGAATGGCCATTTCTGGCTTATTAGCCGTCGTCAGCCAGCCATACCCAAGCCCGAAGTGTGGAACACCCGAGCCTCGAACTCGCGACCTGTTAGAAGTCCGCGCCTATGACCATTGGGCCACGAGCCCGTTGCCCTGTCAGTTTTCGATCGGGGATATGCAATGTTAGGGGGCGCTCACTGATTTTTATTAAGGAACTCACTCGTCCTCTCAAGCCTCGTTCGAGTCTCGGGTGTTCCACATTTCGGGGTTGCATATGGTTGGCTGACGACGGCTAATAAGCCAGAAATGGCCATTCCAGTCTCCCTTGTATTTGTCGGTAATAGCATTCTGCCTATATATCATGCGCCGCTGTGCGGCTGCTGGTTGGGCGCGAGAAAGAGCCCGTAAGGCACATGGGAACGAGTGAGTTCCGTAATAACGATTGATGAGCGCCCCTATCATCCTTGTCTGAGTCCTACAAAGTGTCCATCTGGCCTTTGGTTCGGAAGTTTCCGAAACCAATAACTGGGTTCACGGACTACGCCGTTCTTGCTGCCTTGCACACAGTTCGGGGCTTGGACCTGGAATTGTCTTGTTGAACGGTCGTGGATTCCCAACATCGTTCGGGTTTCCTGTTTGCGGTTCAAAATGTGCTTCCACGGTAGACGTGCTATCTCAAGACATGTGGATAAAATTTCTGAAATATGTTTCCGATTCGAAAAGATTACTTGAGCAGGGTTTTAATACGCGATTGCTGTACAGCATATTACCATTGCATTTCAGTTATGTCAGGTGGTGGACTTTTGAACAAGTTTCTCTGCGGCCGCCTGCAAAAACTGCACTCTCCTCAAATGATCGTTTAAGTAGTATGCATTTCACGATTGATTTTTGGTACCCTCGTAAACCTGAATGCATTTATGGAAAAAATGCATAAACATATATTGCATATACGCATTTGGTGGCACTTTACACCTCTTTCAGTTTTACACTTGAATAAAGAATACAATTCTGCCAAAAAACTTTTTCATTTCCTTAATAATTATCAATAGTCTTGGTAGTACGCATGTATTCATAGTTTTCAAACCGTGAGATGTATGCTTTGCGAGCAAGGAGAACCATACAGTCTATACAGAAATAGTCATATCGAGTCGATACAATTTTGCAGTGGATGCAAACCCTGTCTTTATTATATAGGCAGCATGAGTAAACGTGTTGATTTGGCGATGCAGGACTGGACATTTCATAGTTTTAACAAAATCTCATAGTCGCAAACGTTTTTGAGACCAAAAAACACTATCTCTTCTAGTCACGTACTTGGAGAGGTCGCAGTTTGCTGTCCAATGAGTATGAGAAAGAACTTTTATGCATATCTTCTATAAAATATATTTGCAAATATGAGGGCATTAACAATCGATGGGAAAGATTCATACTGCTTCACACCTCGTCCCGATAGCCATTTAAGTACTATGTATTTCACCATTGAATTTCGGCGCCGTAATAAATTGGAATGCACTTCATAGAAAAAATGCATAAAAACACTTCTCCTACGCATTTGGTGGCATGTTATGCATCTTTAAATCTGATGATCCAATAGAGAATACAATTCTGTCATGGATTCGTACTGCTTCCAACCTCGTCCCGGTGACTCACAACTATGCAGTCATGCGAAGGCTTTGGCTGCGAAAGTTGAAACCCCATTTTTATATAAACCACAACTCATCCGCTCCTTAACTGATGAGTCTTTTCAAGTCTGTATTTTTAGTGTCGAAAACGCACCAACACGCCTCCCATTAAAAAGTCATGGAAGTCCTGGCTTCTCCCAAAATTAACTTACACAACCTGTTCTCCAGCAAAGTGCTAATCCTCTTTTGATATTTTACAACTCCACCTGCCTGCTCCGCTCAGTTCTCTGTGTTCGGCTTGGGTTTAGAGTTTGGGATAGGAGATAGATGAGAATAATGGAACACTGTTATCGGCAGACGCTTTGACACAAGAGTGGTCTATTCTGACTTATTTGACGTCAGCAGACATTACTAACTTGACCCCGGGTCGCACCTTCGAAGTTCGAACCTCGAGTTGGGTTCTGATCATCGCGCTGTCTGCTCAGGTCACGTCGTCCGAGGTTGGGAATGTTCGGTCACATGGGACGGGGGGGAGGTGGAGGTTGTATGTGCCGGTGTGTTATGATTGCTGGATATTCCTCTATTACTGACAAGCAGGCTGCTTGCTCTGTGTCAACGCAGCTCCAAGGCAGATCAGAATCGCCGTATTTCGTTCTGCAATCGGAACAGTTCACTGCGCGCCATTCCCATGGGTTGCCAGAATGACTGAAATTGCCTCGGAAGGAAGGACGACTCAAGCAGAAAGGGCTAAACAAGACAACCTGCGGAGACTGAGGTTCCGCAGTGCCAAAGGAGAACTGGACTCCGTAGAAGTAGAAATTATGTCTTGAAAAATCGCGGACCGGGGTCAGCTGTCCATTTATATTCTCTCGAAATAACGTCGTTAAAAGTAATTTCTTAAGTCATAGAAAATGCCAAAGGAAACCAATCAGGGATATTACACCAAATTTAAAGTCGAAGTCCAAGAACACATAGGAAAAAATGTCACCTTGTTTAGGCTGATGCTAGTTAACCTTTACGGCCGAAATAAGTCACTGAGCATGTTCGAGGCCGTGTGCTACTTACAATCGAGCGTTCACTGCGTAATAAGTTAATACTTTTAAGATCCTGATCTTTATTATGGAGGGATTACCAGCTAGTTTCATCCTGAATAGTGATGAATGCCCTCCTTCTGCTGCGCCGAACAGTTGGAAGGACACAAATGGGCAGTTGGGGGAAGCCTACTAGATGTCTTCTGCGTTTATCTACAGTATTCCTATCTTGGAGTGCCTATAGTGCTTTAGTCTCCAGTCAATATACCCTTTAGAACGTTCAGCTAGCTTCATAGTAGGAGGTTTTTTAAAGACCCCTCCGATGGTACACACACTTTTGGAAAGTCGTAAAGACGTAAAACCAACGCCAGAATGCAGACTGATCCGTTGCGGAGTTGTTTTTGACAGAACGGCTTCAGCTGTTTAGCAGATTGAGCCCAATCACTTGTGTTCAGCGGTAACCATTCTAGCAGGATGACAGTACAGCGTTTTTCCTGCCCTTGTGATGCCAGTACGTGATCTATGTTATGAAATCTGATGCCGAAAACTGATGTGAGAATTTTTTGACATCTTAACTGTTGCGCATTTTGCTGGCTCATTCAGTCTCTTCAAGGAAATGTCCTCTTTGTGAAGAAATTGTATTTACATAATTTTATCAGACAAAATGTTCATAAATTTGAGCGAAAATGGACGTTGCTGCAGTTTCGGGCGATTTCCTATACTATTACTTGTCGTAGACGTTGGTGGCGCATTTAAGTGTGTTTCTCATTGAAAGGAGAGTAAGTTACTCTCAAGATTTTTACTGAACAGAGGTTGCCAGACTTGAAAATTGATTTTATCTCCGATGCTAGCCGTCAGAATAAACTTGCATACACACAGGTTTTTATCGATTTGTAGATGTCAGATTGGCAGCCCTCTGCGATTTGATAACCTGAAATGCAGTAATAACGCACACAGGCAATCATTCGTTTAAATGGGCTGAAATTAATTTGGCGTTTGGACAATTTTGCTTGTTGTCGCAGAAATGACCACCACTGAATAGTCATTTCCAGTTAGGAACATAAAAAACATTACTTTTAGTTCAGTCTAACTTCTGCAAATACCTAATTCAAAAATGAAACGAGCAAAACATTAACAGTTCCAGAAGAATATCAGTATTTATATGAGCATTTTCCCATGCACACATAACCGTAAAGTGGAGTTTAAAAGCGAGCAAATCAGTACAAGCGGCAACAATATAAAGAGAAAGGCATGCTTTTGTGTTTACGATATAAGAATATGAGCACTGTTAAGGAACGTAAAAGAAACGGCCAAAGTGTCCAGTTTTCTTAGCCTTACCATGCAAAAAATGCAAAGTACACAGACATACGTCGACGGAGTGCAGTATTGAAGCGCTCCTTAAACAGATAACCTATAAGAAAACGTTTTCTTATTGATTGAAGGCATAACTGTGCTAAATATCATTGTCGACCTTAATTCTTTTCAACGTGTGACCCAAAAGACGTCCTTCATGAGGAAGAACGTCCGAAATTCGCTACTTCAGTAAATGCCCTCAAAAGTATTTAAAGTTTTTAATAGACACATGGTAAAGAAGCTGCATTTATGGCGATCGGGATACCCCTGAAAATCATGAACATTCGAGGCCGATTTAAAATTCAGCGAAACCCGGAAGAAACAAAAACTGCAAATGGATTTAACAGGATCCTGTTTCTCTTATTGAACCGCATCTCAATCAACAAACGAAGTCAAGAATATCCCAAATCCTCGGAAAAAGGCTTTGGAATATATGCTCAGGCTGTACGCTGTTTGCAAACCGTCATACCTGAGCTTACACAAATTTGTAAAGGATACCTAGATGTTATCTTCACTAAGACGCTATCTGTAAATGTTACTCTACTTGTGCTTTCGTGTTTACTCGGTATTTTGCATGCAGATATGCTCTGCACATCTAAAACGAGCTTAACTAAATTACAATCATTTTTGATGTTTTCAGGATTTTGTTATTCTCTAAAAAATCGGCATTTTGAAGCGAAACAACATTGCCTTTAGTATTTCCCTTATGTTTTTAATTTTTTTCGAAGTTGTTCCGAATTAACATAGATATTGGATACACGCATTGGTGTAGGTTTGCGAGTGATTGGCAGTTATTCAGAAATTTCGACACCTTTCATGAGTTAAGTAACCTACTGAAAATTAGGGGCGGGAGATCAACTTTTCCCCCTCATTATTGCGACACAAGTGCTGACCAAATTTAAAGCGCGAGCCATGGCGTGCGCAAGTGCAGTTGATAGAGGCTTAAACCGGATAAAACTGTCGTGCTCTGACTGGCCCGCTTCGAGTTTCTGCAGTAACCTGGACGAAATTTCTAACTCAGAAGCCGATGAGTGCAATATTCGCCGAAACACCATCAACAGAGTCTTGAAGCTTGCCATTTTGCGGAAGCCTTCGTGACTGCATCACCCAAACATGGGAGAACGGTAAACAGGCCGTCACCACTTTCAACTTTTATCTATGTCGAGAGTGTGATGAAGTAGGATTCCATGTGCAGCTGATACTACTGATTACCTAATTAGTCTTTGAAACATGTCATGCGATAACTTGTGAGTTTGGGAGAGGTGCACTGGAGTGTTTACACAAAAGTTTCCAGAGTCTGCCCACCGCTCGGAGTGTTGCCGAGCTGTGCCGCAGGATTATGGATTGCTGAAACGTTGCCCGTCATTGGACGGCCAGATTTTTGGCAGCGCCTTCGGTCAGACACGGGAATAGGAGCTTCCTCCCATTTCAGGGTCCTTGCACTAACTTCCAGGGAAGTCGGAGCTAATGTTAAGGTTATGGTTAGGGCTAAGTCTAGGGTGGGTGCTTGAACACGGAAATATATGCGTTCCCCAGCATTTTGCACGAGGCCACCCGCGTAACTGGAAGGGAGAGGGGAGCGAGGAGGTGAGGTCTTCCATTTCTGCATCTTGCCGCGCCCCCCCCCCCAAACCACCACATTATCTCTCCTATCTGCACGACCTTTTAATGGATGCAATTCTGGACAAACGGAAGCGCAGACAAAAGCATCTTCGTGGCCTGCCTCGTCCATCTGACACAACGTAGACGGAGAATTGTTGATGTGATTATGCAAAAAAAATTTCTACCACATTTTTGGAGGAATTTGATCTCTGAGTCGTCAACAAAGAGAGAAGACTCATCGAGAAACCCTTTAAAAGGGTTCTCAAATTGTAGAATAAGACTCGGAAAGATACGGACGTTCTGCTGAAGCTTAATAAATCGCATTTATATTCAAATTTAGTCTAGTGTGTTCCTTTACATGATTCACGCCGCGTAGTTATCTACCACGGCTTACGGTAGATGTACTAACTCATGAAACGTTGACCAAAATTCTGAGATGCTTTTTCGACTTAAAAAGGTTTTAATATTAATCATCGTGCAGCATAATCCTATAAAAATTCAGTTAGCTTAAAATGCTGGCTTTTAAATGAAAGTCCATCAGGTTGTCTACAAACGCTAAGTCTTTGAAAGATAACTACTCGAATTCAATGAATTGTTTTCATTAATTTTCGATGTTTTTATAAGTTTGAATATATCTCGTCGAAAAAATACATAAATTATTCATTGTTTGGCCTTTTGGTAAAAAATTGTGACCTCTTCAAATTGTATTCTTGAAGGAAGGGTATAATTTGGTTTTGAAAGTACCTGCTTATAGGTTTTTTTAAGATCGTAAAATGCTCGTTCATAAAGCATCGTGTCTTTGAATTCATTAGTGTTGTTGGTAAAGTTTACAATATGGCTCGAATCCTCTGATACATCTATGAACCTCATGTGGTCTTTTCTTAATACCGAACAGAAATATATGAATTTCTGTTTACCGAAAATATACAGCTTGTAATTTATAAACCCCTGAATGTAAGTGTTATCGCAGGTCGGGTTCAAAATTATTCGGGAATGCGAGAAGTTACCTTAAATCAAATTTTACCCTTCCTTCAAGAATGAAATTTAAAGGAGGCGTTATTTCCTACAAAATGGTTGAAAAAATGAGTATTTATACGCAGGTTTTCTATGAAATATACTTGAATTTATAAGGTCATCGAAAATAAATAAGAAAAGTACATATTGCCCGAATAGTTATTTGTAACAGAGTGCAGTTTTTACAATCCGTCGGAAAGAAGATCGCCCAAAAGCTGGCATTTTGAAATAACAGAATTATCATGGAATTATGCTGTACGGTGATTAAAATAGCAACCCAACTAAAGTAATCTTCTCAAGTCAGAAATGCATTTCAAAATTTCGGTTAACAATTCATCTACTGTATGTAGAGTGTGCGAAGGCTGTGTCCTAGTGGCCTACGCAACTTACATAGTTTTTAGTAGTGTGGCCAGAAAAATGAGATTATGTAATATTTTAAACTAAGAAAACTACGGCCTATGCAGCTGAACGAAAAATAGCTGCGTAAAGTAGCCGGAATCCCGATATGTATCTCTGTTTCGAATGGACAACTTACGGGTTTTTGTGAAGTATGACACCAAGCCATTTCAGTCAGTAGGAAGCAACCTATCACATGTATCATTTTTCGTTCGGCTGCAAAAATTACACTCTATAAAAGTGGTTAATTAGTTGGCACTATTCTCCCATTGACTTTTGACGTCATAATATATCCAAATATATATAACAGAGGGGATAGGCAAAAAAGATTTCCTTCTGAACTCGTTTGATAGACAAATGCTTATCGAATCCTTATGTAAGATTGAACCAAACTTGCTACTGGGTTGCGTTAGGGGTTTATAAACTACATTTTGCCTACTTTCTACGTAAGAATAATCATAAAAGTCCCTACACTCTAAAGAAGACATCATATAGGGTTAGTCAAATATTGCACTGTATGCAAAGTACCCTGTACACTTTATAAGCAGCACTGATAAGCAAACGAATACGACGCCGTTTGACTGGACGTTTCGCTATATTAATAACCCCGATGTTTAAACAAAAAGATGTACTTTTTCGGGTGAAACTTTTGAAAAAACTATTTTTCTACCGAGTTTGCGTAGGGAGCATTGTAACTATGCATTTTTTGTAAAATGCGCTTGCATTTACAAGGACATAGAAAATAAACAGGAAGAAAACCGCACTAGGTAAGCAGTAATTGTTACCGAGTGTGATTTCTGTGTTCGGCTAAAATAAGGTTAATTTAAAAGTCGAAAATTTGGCCCAACTGATATTTAAATGCATAATTTTAAATGTTACAGTCTCGCCCATGTAATTCTTACGCATATAGGACACATTTTGGAATTTCCGTTAGCATCTCCTGAGATAGTCCAGCTGCTGTAGTGCGCAGAATTCTCTAGAGAAAAGCGCATTTTATAAGTGTGGCACAACCTAAGGTACTTACATTTGAAAGGCAATTTGCCTGCAGCCAAACCCCGAAAAATCCAATGCAAGGCATAGGTAGTATACGCCTTTGTTTACCTCTAGGGACCGGTTTGAAAGAATGCTTACTTTCGTGCTCTATGTCAAGACATAAAGATCGTTTGACGAGGCTTTTCCAGCCCATTAGATCCCTTCAAATTGGAACTATCTCCTGGCAACATTTAACCCGCGTCAGCTTGCTGCAAGGATATTAGAAAGTTTAACTTCTCATGAAGGGGCACTGCGTTAGCAAGAAAAAATCGGACCGTTCCAGACAAAGTCAAAAAGTGAGCGGAAATGCTACCTTGCAAATGACGTATTTTTAAACTCAGATTCTCACTGAGTCTTGTAAATCGTTGTTCTGGATTTATCTCTTCGTTGGGCGCGGAGGCGGAATTCCATCCAGGGGTGGATTAAGGTGGCGAGCTGTTACACTGTCATAGAGAAACGACATGAGAGGCGTGTTTTTCTCAACTGCGTTTAACTACACAGTAAATGTGAACATTTTTATGTTTGTCCTAAATTAATTGTACAGTCAGCGACCCGTCTCGTGAAGTGTTAACCTCAATTCAGTTAGGCATGCATTATTGTTGAGTGACTCAAACACATGGAATTTCAGAAACGCAAGGGTGCTGGCTTCAGCAGACCCTGGCAAATCCATCTTCAAGATACACCAGCACCTTTCTCACTATGACATATCTGACGTGTTTGATTCAACCACGACGTGTTAAAATCATGGATTAGAGGACTGCCAGCCGACTAAGTAACCCAGTTTTCGGGCCCCGTCCGGTGCGTTTGTGCCCTCCAAACGGACCACGTGGTAAATGCGATGGACCGGCACGAGGGTCATATTGGATTCTGGCAGGCGTTATCGGATCTCCGCACTATAACAACTGCCAACATTTGGGGGTGCGGTGGCAGACCTAGTTGCTGACGGTGGTCGTGCAGATTGGGACACTTGCCGCTCCCATTTTGGTGGGGGTAAAAATCCTGGTCATTTGTCATGTAGAACGCCAAGGTGCGGGCTAGATCATGCGCCCTGTCCCGCTTCCGGTCTTCTTGACTCTGTCTTGATACCGGGTCTAGGTGCGGGGTAGGTAAGAGAGAGTGCGGCAGATGCTGCGCAAGTCTAAAGTCACTAAAAACTAATTTTCGCGCAAGTCACTGTGCCTGCTGGACCTTGTTGTGTGGCACATGGCGCACGTCGTCGAACTCTATGGTTGAACTGTCGTGTGTTATGCACTAACCGTCACCCAACACTGCCTACAACGCACCCCATATCAACGTGAATGGAGTCCAACTGCAAGATGCCGTCAACTTCACTTACCTGGGAAGGGCGGGAATCGACGACGAAGTGACCCGTCGGATCTCCAAGGCCAGTCAAGCCTTCAGCCGCTTGCAAAACACAGTCTGCAGTCGCCACGGTCTCCACCTCGGCAGTCATTCTGCCACAGTTACTGCATGGAGCGAAGACCTGGATGGTGTACAAAAAGCAGGTGCAAGGACTCAACCACTTCCACCTCAGCTGTCTTCGACGGATGGCGAGACTAAGATTGCACGACCGGATCCCGGACACGGACGAGAATCCTCAGCATCTACGCCATGCTGAGACAGCTGCAACTGCGTTGGAGCGGCCACCTCGTGCAAATAGACGACAAGTGGCAAACCAAACGACTCTCCTACGGAGATGTTGCCAATGGGTTTCCGCCGACAAGGAGGCAAATTCCGGCGCTATTAAGACACCTTGAAGACTTTCCTGAAACATTTGTAAGCCAACCGGGCAAACTGGAAAGACCTCGCCCAAGAGAGACTGACCAGGCAAAGGGCAGTAAAGACAGGCGCAACAATCTACGAAGCAAACCGCACCACTGACACCAAAGCCAAACGTGATGCTCGCAGGTCTCAACTGCGAACTCAACCGCTCCCGGTTTGCCCACGCTCACAACGGTTGTTCCGATCATCAGTCGGTCTTGTAGGACATCGTCGAACCAACTACAATACCCAGACGACACCATCCGATGTCTCCCCGTCCATCTCTGCCTTGTCCCCCACGTCGACAGTCAAAACTGACCGTACTCCCGAAATCCCACTACCATCCCCCTCCTCAATCACCTCAACATCCGCTGCGGCGCCCCCTGTACTCACCACCGCTATACAAAATCAAGACACGCCGATAAACATCAACCTCATCACCACAAACACCAGTGATGTGCACTCGGTTCACATCTCTCCTCATTGCGACCGCATCCTTACCTCACTCATCGGCCTGGTCGGTCACTTGAGAACCCGTCGCACAGAGACTGACGAACCAGTGCCTGGAGCACCAACCTACACTCGCCGCTTCCGCTTCCACTGTCCACAGTGCACTCGCATTTTCGCGCATCGCATGGGCCTGTTCAGCCACATGTGCATCCACGAGAGCGGAATTGACCGCAGTCTCGACACACCCACAACATCCAACACCCCCTCAACGCACAGCCCTACCCCCATTCCGTCGCCGTGTGCGCCCATCGCCACCACCACCTCCATAACCGACACTGACACCACCGACCTCTCATGCCCACATTGTCGCCGCACATTCACCTTACGCATCGGCCTGATCGGCCACTTGCGAATCCATCGCAAAGAGACTGCCGAACCAGTGTCTAGAGTCCCAACCTACATCCAACGCACCTACCTCCACTTTCCAAACTGCCCTCGCACTTCCACGCATCGCATGGATCTATTCGGCCACATGCGCATTTACGAAATCCTGCGATAGCCAACCGCCGGCTGCACCACACTATCACCCCTCCCTCCCTCACCACCATCTCATCACACATCGACATCGACCACCGTAAGCACCCTACTGCCACCTCCCACACCAATGGGAATTGTGCATCTCGAGTTGGTCTCCGTGCAGCTCCTGTTGCATGGGTGACTCGAGCCTGAGATTATCCCTACGCGTCAAGCGCCGTGGATAAGAAGGCTGCTGATTGACGCCCCAACTCGGTCCACGCAGTCCGTCAGGTTGTGTGTGTTTGTGTGGAGAGGAGGGCTGGTGGGTTGGGGGTCGGGCCGATACAGCTCCTTCCACGGCACTCTCACGCATGTGCCATGTATGCCGCTCAACTCCCGTTGTGTGATATCCTGATGCTTGTGTTTGGGGGGCCAGATCATGCATGCGGCGCGCGAAGAGAAGGTCACTAGACCATGTCAGTCATCGCGTCCATTCCACGCTGCAGCCAGCTGACCAGCTCGGACAGGGGCTGAGGTGCGGGAATGGGAAAGGAGAGTGCGGTTGACGACTCAGCGCATCTTCCTCCTTACTATAAACAATCTGACGCGCTTGAAGCTATCACGGTGCGATAAAAGCCGTCGCTTGGAAGGTTGCCTACTGGCAGGATAACTTGGACCTTGCAATCAGCCCAGTGTTGTGTGTGCTGCAGTTGCGGAGTGGCCAGTTTGTGATCTAAGAGTCATGATGTAATGGCCCCCTTTTAATGTGGCCTTTATGGCACTCC